AACTGTACAATAAACCCAAATAGTGAACTCAGTAACTGCAAGAAGTTTGTGTAAAACGAGTAATTTAGATTCATTTTGAGCAGATTATTACCAGTTTGGGGAGTTCTTTGTCAGAATTATGTTTTGGTTTTTTTTTAACAATCAAAAATGCTCAGTAAGCTTCTTTTTTGACTAATTAATTGTTTTCTTCTCCCTGTTAGACAATTTATATTTACTTTTCTTCACAGAAGTGAACCAAACGCTGAGATATAGGCCTATTGTGTTTTTAGTACGCCATAAAATCAAGAAGGCTCTGTGACCCCACATTGAAGCTTTGGTGACCCCTAGTGGGAAACCAGTGACTTAAATGATGCATTTCTACTAACAATCTAATGAAGTCACATAAAATATCAGTCACAAGGACTTTTTTTCTGCAGAAATGTACAATGTTCTGATAATACTTCATGTACTTTTACCTAATTAGGATTTTTATGTTGTTGTACTCGTACTTTAATGTTGGCTTAGTAAAGGATCTCAATACTTCTTCCAGCACTAAAAGCTGCTGGTGAAAGTTAAATATTTCTGACACTTTCACTACAGCGGAGGGTGAGGTGCGGTTAAAGTAAGCACTGTGGGTGCAGCTGTGGTTGGCAGCTGCACCAAGTGGGACTTAGTAACATCGAAGCACCAGAAACACCTTGACTATCTCTGATTTATCATCCTCTATCTTCTCCTTTATCAGTGTGCCACTCTGCATCACTATCCTCCTGTCACTGTCTTTCTCTCTCCCTTTCCTCTCTACATCTCCTCGCCTTACAAGTGATTTCCAAGGCAGTGTTTGCTGGCCTTCTGCTGCTAATAAAGATCTGGACGAGCACCAGCTCCAGTGTTTGGCCGGTGGCTGAGGCCTTCGGGGCACCGAGGGAACAACAGCGTGCGCGCAAAACTCGGCCAGATCTCAGAGTGCATTTAAACACTCGCCAGTGACTTTCGTTGTTCCTGCACCTCTCCTCGGATATCAACTCGAAAAACACACGCTGGATGCAGCGCAAACAGACAGTTGCTAGAGAGGAAGCAACGCCAAACATACCTGTGTGATGGTCTGTTAGTCAATGTATATTTTAGCTTGTGTCTGGTGCGTGTGGGGGTTTGATAATGATGGACTGTTCCCCATGAGCCTGGGTTTACATTTTGTGCCTAATGTGGATAATTAGTCTTTCTTCATTGCACAGGAACATTAAAGGTTCAGTGCTTGTAGAGAGCAAATGTGACACTGTAAAGCGAGGCTTACAGTGTGCCAATTACAGTTTGTCTCTTATCCATCTGCTTTCATTTACACCCAACAAGAAATGTGAGTTATTAAAGCCCACAGGGGAGCAGTAAATTCACCCCACGGGGGTTTGCTTGCAGCTCCTCAAAGCTGGAGCCGGCTTGTGTTGACGGGGTGCATTTATGGCCCTCTCATGGTTCTTGGACCCAATTGTGCTGCCTGCTCTAATGGGCCACATGAATATCTATCCATTGCATTCATCTCCAGGGTCACAATACACGATGACTAAAGAGCTGCATGTGCAAAACAGACAGAATGAGAGCACCGATTCAGTTACACAATGAAGTCAACGTATTGTGCTATGCTTTGTAATATGAATCACTGAGCCTATGGGCCAGGAAACAGACAGCCTGACTGTCAGTTTCACTCTCGCTCTCACTTTTTCCAGAAGGAAACAGTGCAGACACAGTCCATCTAATCATACACTTATTCAGTCTGAGAGTCAAGGCTCGGGGAAGGAGAAGAGGTGTGCAGTCTCTGAGTATACACCCAACCAGCCAATGAAAGTGTTGTTTTCTTCAGATGACAGATTGAGGAGGGTAGTGGTTTGACCTGAAACCAGGGCCAAGCCCCAATTACTGCATTCTTGCACCGTAGCCATTAGCTCACTGTCTCTCGGGACTCCAAATCTCATATTAAGGAATGACACGGAAAAAGTGAGTTATAATCAAATAAGACTCTTGAAGACAGCAGGGATTTTCGCTCAGGGCAATAATCACCTTTTGCTGAGTGTCGATCTGCGCCTCTCGTCTGTCCTGGTATGATCTCACACCACTTAAGTTTGAGTCTTCTTTTGTAGGCATTTACAGCTGTTTCTGCACATTTACGTATTTCCTGTAAAAA